CCTGCAGCACAGCAGGATTGGTAGAAATCAAGGGTTTTCAGGCTGATGGAAGAACTGAAGACCACGGTTAAACATAAAGAGAATTCATTAGCCTAGGGTCTGGCAGGCAGGCTTTTGCTCTCTTGACCTTATATATATTCATATCATTTTGGGTACATTTTCATATATTTAAAATAGCAAAATGCTTTCCCCCCCCTTTATTTTGCAGAAGAATAACAACAAAAAGGACTTCTTCGGAATGTTAATAAATATTTGAGTTTTGTTTTGTTTTGTTTTAAAACCAAATTTCCCCAGTGCCTGTTTCCCTGTGATGTCTTTTTGTTTCTCTTTATTTTTTCTTTTAATCTTCCCACCAAAATGGGATTACAACTGCCCATGCTGAGTACCTGGAGTACCTGCAGGTACTCGTAAGGGTGCTTTACTAAGTACTCTCTCCAAACAATGCAGAAACTCATGTACCTCTATTATGTCACCTTCTCTGTCTCCTCCAGAGCACCAGAGCCAAGCACATCACCTGGTGATTAGTAAGCACTGAAATATTTGCTAAAGGAGTGAACAGTCCTGGGGCATTCCATCGATAGGGTAACTCTTACTGAACTTTTGAGTTAGACTGACATTTTAGGAAAGCAATAGAAAACGAGCAGTGAGAATTTCTGTTTTTAAAAATGTCCCTAAAGTAACATAGCTAAGCTTCAGCCTGCAGAGTTATAACTTCTGGAAGATAGTGTAGGTACGGTTAATCCCAGTTGCCATACAAGAAACAAGACTGACGTAGCACAGTCACACATAAAGTCAATTGCTGATTCAGAACAAGCCCAGGTATCCTCCCAAGTAGAGAGCTGTCTCCCAAGAACTCAGCCAATACAGAGTGGGCAGTCAGTGGGCTGTAAGGGGTACACCATGGAGTTCTCCGGAGTGTCTTCCTTGGTTTTGTAGAGCTGAACTAGAATACCTGAGGGTGGGTGATTTATGATGAGATTTTCTTTTTTTTCCCCCTCACAGTTCTAGAGAATGAAGGCCCAAGGCCCAGGCATTGACCCCAGGCAATGACCTTGCTGGGTCGTCCTAGGGTGGAAGGCTGAAGGGCAAAAGGAAAGAAGAGATGAACGAGAGTAAACACTATCGCTTTTATAAGAACTCACCTTCTGCAGAAACAGCATTCAAGAGGGTGATGCCCTCAGGATGCAGACTACTCTTGGTAGACCTCACCGTGCTGAGGACCACATCAACGGCACATGACTTTGGGGAAATATATTCAAAGCATTCAAACCAAATGGGGGACTGTGAACATCCTTCCTCGCCATCCTGACCTGCCTTTCTGCACATCCCACTGACCAATGCCGACACCTAGCCTATTGTCTAGAGAATGGAAGCCCCCCAGATGGAGTGGGAAGAGGAATGTACACAAGAGAGGAGGCATACCAGGCTGGCAGTGAGGCAGCTAAAACAAAGGGAGCCAGAGAGGCAGAGCTCTTTGTAGCTCTCAGATTTGACAGGAGTGACAGGGAACCATGAGCATTCTAATCAGCCAGTCTTGGCTTTCCTCTGTGGGCTATTCACTCAGGGCTGCCCCGGCTCCTTTAGTACCTCTCCTACTCAGGTAGGGACCGGTAGTTCATGGTCTTTCTTGTTTACCTGGGGTTAGGAGACTGCTCTGGATCACTATCACTGACATTGTCATCACCATCACCACCAACATGGGCATCACCCACTGCTGTGGGATGTTCTGTATGTCAAGTGTGTTGCTGATTGGTCAATAAATAAATCACTGATTGGCCAGTGGCCGGGCAGGAAGTATAGGCGGGACAAGGAGGAGAATAAAGCTGGGAAGTGGAAGGCTGAGTCAGAGAGACACTGCCAGCCGCCATGATGACAAACAGCATGTGAAGATGCCGGTAAGCCATGAGCCACGTGGCAAGGTATAGATTTATAGAAATGGATTAATTTAAGCTGTAAGAACAGTTAGCAAGAAGCCTGCCATGGCCATACAGTTTGTAACCAATATAAGTCTCTGTGTGTTTACTTGGTTGGGTCTGAGCAGCTGTGGGACTCGCAGGTGAGAGAGATTTGTCCTGACCCTGGGCCAGGCAGGAAAACTCGAGCTACAACCCACATGTGTTTGGTGCTTCACAGTTCACACACTATGTTCATAACCACTTCTCATTCATGCCCACACCAGTGACCTCTCCGTTGCTGGGATGCTGTGTAATGAAGTGACTACATTTTCCTTGGGCCCTGGAAGTGGAAATTTTTAATAGGAGAACAAAGATGAGGCTAGACAGAATACAGTTGAACACCCTGGGAAAGAGAGAACCCTTTGGAGATGATTTGTCCGAGCCACTTGGCTGAGGCCGCTTTGTTGACATTTCTGCAATCATCTTGCTACTGAGATAAGAATGGTAACCAAAATAAAAATATATGGACGTTAGTAATGAAGATAATAATAATTTGCTAAATTTTCCCTTTGTGAAATAGGATTGAGACCCATGGGTCAAAATACATGGGGAATGAATGAAACACAGAGAGCAAGTGATATAAATGCAGACAAATGTTTTAGTGCTTTGAAAAAATGCTTTTATTTAATTTAGCATCACAAGTGCCTTTCAAGTCATTAAAGTAATTATTATTATACCCATTTAAGAATTATTATGTTTATTTGTGTGTGTGCCACAGTGCACATGGGGAGGTCAGAGAATAACTTCTGGGAATATAGATCCTCTACTTCCACCATGGGAAAGTCCCAAGGAAGGAATTCAGTGGCACGGACTTTTAATCCTAGTCTCTATTATACACACTTAAGTTGGAAATTTCTCAGGTAATTTAGTTAAAAATAAACTTGAAAGTTATTCAATGGCATTAAAGAAAAGAACAAGGCAAACACTTTGGTCACAGCTTTGGAACAACATGAAGTCCCAGGTGTCTTAGAGGCCCTCTGTACAAGGTAAACTAAAGACTGTTATCAATGACAGCCCGTGAGTCTCTGTACTCTGCAAGATCCTTTCAAAATATATTATTGAATAAAAATAAAATAAGCAGAGCTCTTATTTATGATCCTTTTAGCATGCCCCTCCACACATACATAGATACACACAGTGAATATTCTTCTGTGGGGCTAAGATCTAATGGTAAAAGGTCAAGATCCTTTTAATAGTTTCCCACCCAGACTGCCCTTTAAATTCCCATGGGTGCCTCTAAAACTACACGATACTCCTTTCCTAGAATCATGAATCTGCATCTTGGGCAGTGAGTGTGTAGGGAGGGGGGTGAATAAGAGCAATATATAAGGACTCATGTATGAAGACCTCATGATGAATCCTATTACTTTTTTTAACCTTGAACATTAATTTTAAAAAGTCTTCATCTCAAGGGGTAGAGACCACATATTTGTGCATTCAAAACCTTCCACTTGCCTATATAAAGAAAAGGCTGAGCCGGGCGGTGGTGGCACACACCTTTAATCCCAGCACTCGGGAGGCAGAGCCAGGCGGATCTCTGTGAGTTCGAGGCCAGCCTGGGCTACGAAGTGAGTCCCAGGAAAGGCGCAAAGCTACACAGAGAAACCCTGTCTCGAAAAAAAGAAAAGGCTGAATACTGAAGGTAAAAGTGTCATGTTGTTACATGGTCACCATGACTGTCATCAACATCCTTGCATATTTGTGCCAATTCAATTTTATAAGACTTCTACAGTGCATCTAAATATATACTATTACTTATCAACTGTGAAATGTCAGTATGAAGGAAAGACTGACGAAAATGAGTTATTTATTGATGACGATGCAGGCCTTTATTTGTGGGGGACCTGCAGAGAGAGGTATCTGCAAGAGTCAGCCTACATTCTATTAACAAGCTGGGCAATTGTAGGGCAAAAGGGGTATTGGGCAGCGAGTTGCAAACTTTCCTTTCTGGCTTACAGTTGGTCATTGCTAGAAATACCCAGCGAGGAGTCAATTAAGGAATGTTAGATGACCAATAAACATCTTTTCTGGGGCTCCCTAGGGCAGAGAAATCAAGAATCTAGAGAAGTGAGTTAACTTACTTCTAGGAACCAAATTCTTGTCATTACTGGGACTGTCACAGTTCAACCAAAGTGAAGGAGTTTACAAAGCTCTATGGCCCTGGCCAACATCCTGACTTCTGTGTTATTAGTTAGGTGAAGGCATAGTTGCCATTTTCTCAGCTAAACAAGAGCAGTGTCCTCACACGGTCTCAGGACAGTCTCTGGTATTAGAGATTTTGAAGGAGGAAGGTCTGTCGTCAATGGCTTCCAAGCCTGCTGATATCAACCTAGCTACCTAACGTTCTCCTCCCAAGATAGAAACCCTAAAATCACTTAAGAGATGACATCAAGTCAATTTGACTGCTTCTGGCTGAACTTGGGGATATAGAGGAGCTTAGGGTTTCAACCATTGCTGATGTGAAGGCATTGGAGGCAATCAGGGGATTATGATAGACAGGTGCTAGATTGTCAAAAAAGACCATCTGAGTATGAACAACTGTAAATGAAAAAAGATAACAGTTGAGTGCACGTGGTCCAAATTAATAACATCGCTACTAAGATCATAATAGATTCAAACCATTTTTGCTATGAAGACCCAGATTCACCGATGGAACAGTGGCACTTCATGTGGGCTTCACCTGATCTGTAGACCTAGTAGAGCAAAGGAGGCAAGAGCAGAATTATCAGAACAATGCGAGCAGTAGCCATGTGTTAGGGAGAGCAAGGCTGTGCTGTAACTGGATTACAGCTGAGCCAGCTGTGATGACCCCACCTGGCATGTCCATAGCCCACCCAGACCCGTAAAGTCTGGCCCACTGTCGGTTTTATATTATTATAAATAATCTTAACTTTGCAGTTTAACAAACTGTGCCTTAATAAACGAATTTTAAAATAAAAGTGAAAGAGCATGACAGCAAAGACACAAAGAGGAGCCCCCTCCCCTCTCCTCCTCCCCTGTCTCCTCCCCTACCCCCTCCCCCTCCCAAACCTTGGCCACTTTTTTTACTGTGCTTTCTTGAGGATTTGGTGACCTCAAGAAACAGAGGAAGAAGTGTGGTGGTATTGTAATGTGGTGGTATTGTGTTCCCCGAAATACTGTACACGCTAATAAACTTATCTGGGGTCACAGAACAGAACAGCCACAATATTAAACATAGAGGTTAGGCAGTGGTGGCACACGCCTTTAATCCTAGCATTCCAGAGGCAGAGATCTACCTGGATCTCTGTGTGTTCAAGGATACAGCCAAGCATGGTGACTCACGCCTTTAATCCCAGGGAGAGTGATGGCAGAAAACAGAAAGGTATATAAGGTGTGAAGACCAGAAACTAGAAGCTTTTGGCTGGTTAAGCATTCAGGCTTTCGAGAAGCAGTTCAGCTGAGATTCATTTGGATAAGGACTCAGAAGCTTCCAGTCTGAGGAAACAGGATCAGCTGAGGAACTGGAGAGGTGAGGAAGCTGTGGCTTGTTCTGCTTCTCTGATCTTCCAGCATTCACCCCAATAACTGGCCTCAGGTTTGATTTTATTAATAAGACTAAGTTTTGTGCTACAGAGAAGTCACCACTTTCTAGTCCAGGTTTGCTTTTTGTGACCAAGAAATGACACTTTCTGGAAGTGGAGCAATTACTCAGTGATTAATTGATTGATCTTCCAGAAGACCTGGGTTCAGTTCCCAAAACTCATAGGGTGGCTCACAACCATCTGCAGCTCAGCTACAGTGGATCCAATGGTCTCTTCCGCCTCCTTGGGCACTGCACCCACATGGTACACATACATACATACATACATACATACATACATACATACATGCATGCATACATACATACATAGAAGCAAAACATCCATACACATAAAAATAAACAAATAATAGTTAATAAAAAGAGATAAATGACACTTCCCTGCTAGACAATTGCTTAGAAAAACTCAGCATAGCTGTTCACCCCCACTAATATGACTAAGGTCTAAATTATAAGCTAACATATTTAATAACTACATCCCCTCTCTCTTTACCCCAATTGCTTGACCAGTTATAACTGCAAACTTCAGCATGCTCCCCCATATTCTTAAGTGTGTTTACAATGGCTCTGTATTATTCTTAGCTAATCCTGGTACAGAAAATCACATGGCCCCTGCTCAGCTTCTCAGAAGTCTGTGCCAGGCGGGGCCCTCACCCAGAGCAGGGGATGGAGTTTCAGAGGGATTTGTTTTGGCATGCTGTCCATGTGGGCTATGTGCACTCTACATCCTGGACCATTAAGTCCCTAGAAGGAGAGGGTGGGCTTGCAACGCCAGTGATGGGGTCTAGAAGAGCCAAATCAGTCCTGGAAAAAGTAAAGCTGGCCCCAAAGAGCTAAGCTTGCTCTCTGCAAAGTTAAAATCCCAAACTTCTGACTTGTAAGGCTGGGAGAGACGTGAGAGGGCCCCATCCTGTAAGAACCTCACTCCAGTGAGTCCACAGACATTCTAATCTCACACTGCTTTTCTCTCCACGGAAACTGTGGACCATGTGCCTGGCCCAAAGCTCTGCTCAGGGGATCTTCTCTTCAGCCTGTCTTTTTCAAGGCGATGGAAGCATTATGCAGTGGCAATATTATCACAGCAGAAAATAGATTGGATATCATTTAGAAATGTACTGTTTGTTCATGGGCAAAGACCTAAAACCATTTGTTGTTGTTAACTCAATGTTTTATTAGCATCAATGATTATACATAATAATGGGTTTCATTATACATCTTTATACGGGTACATAATGTACTTCATCACATGCACCCCACCCCCTTATCCTCTTCTGTGCACCCTGACTCCTTTGAAACTTTTCATTTTACTCAGGATCTCTTGTGATTTTGTTCTTACTTATAAGAAGACTTTAAGCAAAACAAACAAACAAAAAGTAACAATGAGAGCCCTAGTTTAAAAAGATTTAAAAAATATGTCTTCTCAGTACATGTGCATATATATGTAACAGTAATCATTAAAGAAGAGATCGTGCATTTGGGAAGTGGAACATGTGAGGAGCTGGAGTCATGTAGGGGAGGGGTGGGAGTCATATGGATGCAGAACTCATGTATGAAGTTCTAAAAATAATGAAACTATTTTCAAAAAGAATTTAAATAAATAACATCAAAAAATGTATCTGTCTGAACAGCCTGAAAACAAACCTATGTAGCCAGGTTCCCATGCATTTCCTGTTTCCCTGGGGGGTGGTGCTCAGCAGGGCCCCAGTGCTTAGCCTTCACCCAGAGAAATTTAGTGATGAAAATCCTGCACTCTCCACCCAGCAAAAGCTGACCTCTCTTAAACATATAGGTCACAGCCTGCGGTTAGCAGAGTATGGTTTAAAGGTAGATTTGATGGGATGATGCAAATCTTATTGAAGAACTGCTGTTCATGACAGCTGGACTGAAGACGAAAGATCTTCTGGGCTCACTAGAAGCTAGGTCTGGCCAACAGAGTCAAACCACCCCAGGTTTCCAGCTCTTGAGCTGTGTGGTCAGGTGATCAGATACAGCACAAAACAAGAACCCCGGGTGCTGTAGTTGGGCATAAGGCTGGGTGGATTGAGACCTGCCAGTCATTAATCCTTGGTCTAGTCTTTCTATGTTGGCTTCCAAGTAGTACTTCCAAGCAAACCCTGCAGAGAGCAACCATGACTCCAGCAGGGACTTGCTTTGTCAGAAAACATTTCTCATAGAAGGAATAAAAGAAATCTATCTATCTATCTATCTATCTATCTATCTATCTATCTATCATTTTTCTATCTATCATCGGTCTGTCAATCTATCATCTATCTATATATAGAGAGAAAAATATAAATATAGATATCTGTCTTTCTCTCTCCTTTCCTCCCTTCTCTCCCCAAAGCCTCCTCTCTCTCTCTCTCTCTCTCTCTCTCTCTCTCTCTCTCTGAACAAGAGATGAAACAGAAACATTTGACTATCTGGTGGCTTGATGTCATGGTATCAGCATCTTCATCCAGAAACTTACATTCACGTGTGATCAGTCAGCTTAAATTGTCCCCAAATGCAAGGCACTGGTCACAAAGCTCCATCCCTGAGCCTTCCAAACAAGTCAGCTCTGGCCTTTAACCTAACCGTTCTCCCTTCCCCCTCATGGTCAGCTGCTCCTTTGTACCACAGCAACAGACCAGGCCCTTCCTCTCTCAGTGACTTCGAAAGGACTCAGGAGCACCATCTGACTAATCTGGCTCGGGGAGGCACTAACAGAGAAAATGCGCTTGGTTTCCTTTCACTGCCAGCATTAGCTACTGGGTTCCTGTGCCTCAAACTGTTAAAACAAGAACTGTCTCAGCCTGCTCCCCGCCGACCCGCTCCTGGTAGCCACAGACTGTGGCTGGCCTCTGACCAATGTGCCCTGCGGTTACTGTGCCAGTTGTAAACGAGTCTCAAACAGTTGAAAGCTGAGGGTCTGTTCCGGCACCCTCCACAGAGACTCAGATGTGCTGACCTCATGAGTCTGCAGAGGCAGGCTGGCAAGTGTAAACGAAAAGGCCATCTCATGAGATTTCCTGTACTTCCTGCTGCTGCTGCTGCTGCCCGGACCATGTGTCCCAAGAAGAGCTTTGCTCAAGCTAGGTCAGCACTTACGCTGCCAGTTGTGGCAGAGGCCAGGTGGAAGGGGTGTGAACGGGAAAAATAATCAAGGAAAATGCCCTCCAGTTTTTCTTGTTCTGTTTTGAGTTGCTTTGGGGTTTAATTGGGGGTTGGGGGAGGTTGTTCTATCTTTTTCTGAGGGAGAATGAGAAAAGAAGGTTCTGGGTAACAAGACAACGAACTTAAAAATTACTAAGTCAGCTCATGTCGCATCTGCAAAGAGGACTCATGGTGTGCTATAAGCAGCTAGTGTCACTGTGGGACTGGCCCCTGGTGACCAGATGACAGCTCTCAGAGTGAGACATGTAAGTGGTGTAGGAAGCACAGCTTAGAGGAGGCATTGACCAGCCAGGGTTGTCGATCACAATCTCGAAGGCCTGTTTTCTTCAAAGGAAGGAAATGAATGATACCTGACCACCTGACGCCAGGGTGCAAGTGGTCACACAACTTGATTCTTTGCTATTCTATCAGGAGCCAGCCTCCACCTGAATCCCCCCGCCCCCATATCCTGAGCTTCATTTAGGCCTAATCCTGAGCTTCATCTCTCAGTGAATAGAGCCCATCCCTAAGAAAGAGACCCCATGTACTTTGCCTCCTCCACCAGTAGACTCTATCCTTATACTTATTACTGATCCTTTCTCTAGACCCTAGCCCTGAGCTCTGCTTTGCTAGGGAGTTTCTGTGTAGCTCTGCCTAAAGCTTTGTTGTGATAACTGTCACATGGAAACTGTCTCCCAGAGTTTTGCTATGCTTAAATGTGTAAGAAGAATAAACCACAAGGTCAGACTCTGGAGGTCTTTGACCCAGTGCCTGCAACGATGGTATTGACTCAAGTTTCACTCTTCACCTCTCTCGGATGGTCTCCCCGACGGCCATGAGGCTTGTGGAGTCCCCAACCAAGTGGCAATATTGATCCAGTCAAGAACTAGTACCCAAGTTCTTCCCCCAAGTCTACCCATTCCTCCCAGATCCTCCTTCATAAGTGTGACTGTTCCAAGAGAGAAAAGCACCAAGTACAGAGTCGAGCATTCTGGAAGTTGAAAAGCATTCACTGTTCGATGGTTTGTCCCAATGACCAGCAAACTGCAATTTGGGTTGAGATTAACATTAGAAGGATGCTTATGCTAAACAAAACAGATATGCTACTTTAGGGCCCACTGAGCAATTGCTGGCCTTTCTCTTTGTCCACATCCCTAGATGTGAGTCCTTCCTACTCCATTCCCAATCACACATTCAGATACTAAGTAAACATTTAGGGGCTAGCAGTTAAGAGCATTGATTGCTCTTCCAGAAGACCTTGTTTGATTCCTAGTACCCATGTCATGGCTAACAACAGTCTGTAAACTCCAGTCCCAAGGGAACTGTCACCCTATTCTGGCCCTTGCAGGCACTGCATTCATGTGGTACATAGGCATACATGTAGGCAAAACACACATAAAAGAAAAAAAAGTAGACATTTAGTAAAGAAAATTATGAGTGAGTAGCATACAAACTGATCACACAATCTTTTGGGTAAAGTCAGTGTTAGTTAGCCTAACCTTGTGTTCTAGATGTTCCAGCTGTGCCCTCCACAAAAGGTTCTCTGTGCACACATGTAATCGTATGCCCTCCACAAAAAGTTCTCTGTGCACACATGTAATCGTATGCCCTCCACAAAAGGTTCTCTGTACACACATGCAACTGTATGCCCTCCACAAAAGGTTCTCTGTACACACATGCAACTGCATGCCCTCCACAAAAGGTTCTCTGTACACATATGTAATCGTATGCCCTCCACAAAAAGTTCTCTGGGGGCTGCAGAGATGGCTCAGAGGTTAAGAGCACTGCTTGTTCTTCCAAAGGACCTGAGTTCAATTCCCAGCAACCACATGGTGGGTCACAACCATCTGTAATGAGATCTGGTGCCCTCTTCTGGCCTGCAGGGATATGTGCAGGCAGAACACTGTATACATAATAAATAAATAAATCTTTAAAAAAAAAAAGTTCTCTGTACACGCACATGCAACTGTATGCCCTCCACAAAAGGTTCTCTGTACACATATGCAACCATATCCCTAAAGACCTAACTATTAAAGGTATACTAGATCACATGCCTTACTTACAAATCGAAAACATTCTAGTGTCAATTTCTAGTATCTATTATTTTTATTCATTTTTCAGTTATGAAGAGTGATGGGTTTCATTTTGGCACTTTGTCCATCCTTCTCCCCCCACCCTCCACCCTCCCCCATCCCTCTGCCCTGCCTCTTGCCGGTCCCCTCCTTCCCCAGAGTAGTCATGCCATGTGATCTGATATCCAGATGTGAACCTTCTTTAAGGTCTGTAGGGATGGCTTCCCAAGTGCTTACCGTAGCTGCTGTAGGAGTGTGGCCTTTGTGATTAAGGGCAGGCTGCTCAACTCCAGAAAGTACATTCTGTTAAACAGCACAGTGGTGTTAGTTAGTTATTTCTTTTACTCTCTCTCTCTCTCTCTCTCTCTCTCTCTCTCTCTCTCTCTCTCTCTCTCTGTGTGTGTGTGTGTGTGTGTGTGTGTGTGTGTGTGTGTGTACAGATGCATGCATGCCTAGGCACACATGTTAAGGTCACAGGAAAACCCCCCTCAGATGGCTGTCCCTTGCCACCTTGTTGATCTGGAGCTCCTACCCAGACTGTCTGTCCTACCTACACACGAGGGCCCCTATTCACTGAGGCAGCTCGCTGACCTGAATGGTTATAATTTTAAAAGATAAGCAAACAGAAAATAAACGTCATGAAGATGAGACTTTTTGTTTTGTTTTGTTCACTGCTGTCTCTAAAATAATGCCAACACTGAGGAAGCCAGTATATGTTGAACAAGCGAAATCCACACTGATGGTCACTGAATTACTTCAGAGCAATTTTTTTGAATTTGTTTCTAGGTGTATGCGTGTCTGTCTGTGTGCGTGAATGCTTGTGCCCACAGCAGAGGCATCAACTCCCCTGGAGCTGGATTTACAGACGGTTATAACCTGCCTGACACGGGCACTGGGAATAGAACTCAGGTCCTCGGCAAGAGCAGTACACTCCTAACCGCGGAGCTCTCTCTCTAGCCCACATACAAGCATGTTTAAACAAAATACAGTTTGGGAGAATTAAGATGGCTCAGCAGGTAAGAGCACTCACCACAAACGCCCGATGACCTGAATTCAGTTCCTGGAATGCATGGTAGAAGGAACCAACACACGCACACAATAATAATAAATAAGATAAATGTTTTTAAATATATGGTTTGGCTATGGACATACTTAATATAACAGTAATAAAACACAGGTTTGAAACACACCAGTGTGTTTTAAGGAGCTCCAGGATTTACAAACTAAGGGAGAGCATCCAGATAAAAGGACATTCCTGCTGCTACTTATCCACTGTTGTTCAGTATCTACTTTCTCTGTGACTGCATCAGCCTCGCAGCCACAGTATCTTTTCACGAGCGGCTCAATCTAAACATCAAAAACAGCTTGGAGTCAGTATTCTCCGAGCTATCTTTTCTATAGTTTTTGTGCACCCCAACAGCTCTTCAGTCTTTTCTCCAAATCCTTCCCTTCCTTTTTAGATTTGACTTTGTGGATTCTCACCTCATACACTGCGTCTTTGCATTCAGTCTGACCCTGATCAACCCTTAGGAGATATCACTGTCTTTAAAAAGACCTCAGACCCTTCCTTCAAAGATTTCTATATGAAGGCCCTGAAAAGTCATCAGATGTGGATTGGCTCATGTTGAGCCAATCAGCCAGAGGAAGCTTTCTCTGAAGGGTCCTCATTAAAGACACTGACTGACTTAGTATGTTTGCCCTCAGCAACATGCTTACAGCAAACACAGAAGGCAGTCCACAGACTTAACCAATGTCACGCATGTGACTCAGAACGTTTGCACTTTCTCCCAGTTCTGCAACCCTCTCTCTGCACAGAGACGGTGCGGGCTTTCAGGCAGAGACGGGACTCCACTCCTCTCTCTACCAACGCATACTTCTCCTTCTCCAGCTGCAAAATGCCGAGTCATCAGCAAACCAATCATCAAGTCTCCCAGTGTGCTGGGGACTAACTGCAGCCTGGCGACTGCTGCGAGTAGCCATTCTTCACTTCTGCTTAATGACTCGGTTCTTCACTAAAGGGGAAGAACTTATCGTTCAGTCTCTTACATTTCAGTCATTCCTCCTTCTCAGCCTCTGCAGCTCTGGGCCTCCTAGAACACACTAGGTGTCTAACGGCATTCCATCATCCTCTTTACACAAAGGAGACCGTACTATCCATGATCTATATGACCTGCCCCCCATTCAATTACCTTCCCGAATCATCTGCTCACATTCTCCTCATTTACTGGGCTCCAGGCACGCTGGTTGCTGGCAGCTGTAGATCATGTCCAGTTTGCACCTGCCTCGGGACCTCTGCACGAGCTGTTCCGTGGGCCACGCTTTTCTCAGGGCAGCCATGTCTCTTGGTCCCTCCCTTCTTCCAGCGCTACACTCCAAGGTGTCCTCTCAGTGGGGCCTCCCCTGGACGTGCTATCCAGAATAGCAACCTCTACCCTAGCATTTCACATACTTTTGGCCCATTTTTTCCCCTCCCCTGCTGTTTTTACTAGGCACTTTCAAAAGCTATCTCAGAAGGTGGGAAGGAAAACAATGACTAAGAAAACACACTCGGAACAAAAGGAGACTGCCTCACAGGAAGTTAATGTGCTAACCTAAAATGAACACGAAGTGGTGAAATTCTGCCCCCACACAGGGTGAATCCAGCCAAGCCCAGGAAGCAAGTGACAGAAAAGTTACCAATTCACACGGACACAGGATTTTCTAGTGGTATCTGGAGGGTGAGGTAAACCCCCATGTAACAGTGAGAATGACGTAGGCAGTTAAGAGTAGCAAGCAGGGTATGACAGCACATGCATGCAATCCCAGAATTCTGCAGCTGGGACAGATTGAGTGGCAGGGGTTGTGACCAACCTGGGCTACAGTGTGATACCCTGTCTCCTAACAACAAGGAAAAAAAAAAATCAACAAAGAAATACCACAGAAAACAGCTAAGGAGGTGGTAAGCATAACTAAATTCCATATCAATACTAAAGCTTAATGAAGTAGGCAGTAAATTTTCACATAAGAGTGCAAACACGATCCTAGGCATTTTCCACAGGGGTAGTAAATGCTGTCTGTGACTGCCACACGCACACCAGGACACTGCATTGTGCTTTGCAGATTTGCTGGCCACAGTGGGGTCTTGATTACCTGTGAACTCAAGGATAGAAGCCCAGAGGAGAAGCCAGCAGCCGCTGCTAACACAGCAGAGAAAGTGTGGATGTGAAGAGACGTCATCTCCTGTGTCTAAAAATCTGTTATGGGTTTTTTTTTTTCTAAGCACAAACTTCTCTAATTCTTCTTTTGCATACAGAATTCAGAAAGCAATAAAGGAACTGCTATTTGACACTCTAGGCTTTGGGGGGGGGTGGAGGGGTTGTTTGTTTGTTTGTTTGAGACTAGATCTCACTAAAGAGCTTTGGCTGGCCTCCAACTCACTATGTAGACTAGGCTGGCTTTGATCTCAGACATCTACCTGCCTCCAGCTCTGCTTCTGCCTCCAGAGTACCAGGATTAAAGGCTTGTGCCACCACTGTTGGCTTTTAGGCTTATTTTTGATCAAGTAAGGTCATCAGGAGATAAAGAGAGGTTTAGGGAAAAAATAGCTATAATCGGCCAAACTCCCAAGAGCTCAACAAAGGCTGAGTCTGTACTACAGTTTGTAGAGTACTTATGTAGCACGCACAAAGCTCTGGTTTCAGTCCCCAGCGCCACATAAACCAGGCATGGTGGCAGGCATCTGTCACCCCAACACTCAGGAGGTGTCAACAAAAAGATGTGGATTTAAGGTTATCCTCTGCTGCATAGTGAGTTCATAACCACCTTTGTGTATATGGTACCCTATCAATAAATAAATGCAAAAATAAGTAGCTAAACAAATAAATGGTAATTTTTTTCCCCCAGCTCCTAAAGGGTAGATTAAAGTTCAGAGGAAAATACCTATTGAGCAGGGCATAGTGACACACACCTTTAGTCCCAACACTGGAGGAGCAGAAGCAGAGGGCTGGTTCTCTGTGAGTTTGAGGCTAGCCTGGTCTACACAGAGAGTTCCAGACCTGTGCGAGACCCTGTCTCAGAAAAACAAAACAAATAAACAAAACAACAACAAAACCTCAGCTTCATGGTCAGAACTGACCCGACCAAATTGATTTTATAACCAAGAAAACAACAAACTTCTTGTCCCCCGGAAGCCTGCCCTGTAGTTGGGGGAGGGGAGAAAAGAAAAAGTGAATCATATAATGTCAGTATTGATAAGCAGTGTTAAAAAGTGGAACGAACTCTTTGGAGAAATGTCCAAGTCTGACTCAAGCAGGAAATAAACAAGAAAAGTTCCAAACATCTTGAGTGCCAGAAAGTAAAGAAGTATTCAAAACTAAGAAAGAAGGTGTGGGGTGGGGTGGGGTGGGGTGGGGTGGGGTGGGGTGGGGTAGAGTGGACACAGTCACATGAGGGGGGAACGCCAAAGACAGGGGTGTGTGTGTGTGTGTGTGTGTGTGTGTGTGTGTGTGTGTGTGTGAAGTGAAAAGCTGCGGTGGGCAGACCAGGAAGCATTAGAGTATCAAGTAAAGACCCCTCAGTCAGCCCAAGGTCCACAAGGTCCACAGTAAATTCCAAGTAACTTGTGTAGACAATACCCTCTCAGGGAGATGGAGCCCAGGCTCTCGACTGTGGGCCACACCTAGTGATTCTTTCAAAGACTACGGGAGGGAAAGGATGGGGAAAGCAGCCAGAGAGATTAGATAGTAGAGGAGCCTGGCAAAGACTCCCTCAGGCAGATGAGAGAGGTTGAGTCCACTGTGATCAGCTACAGGACAAGTTAGATTCCTGCGTCTGACATGATGAAGAGTGGTACATCTGCCATCTTCACACAAACAAAAGTCTAACCACAAGAACACAGAAAAATCCCCAGGAGAGTCATTTTATAAAACACCAGACTGGAAAGACAGCTCAGTTATTAAGAGGACTTGGTTTGATTCCCAGCAGTCACATGGCGGCTCACAACCATCCATAACTCTAGTTCCAGAGAACCCAATACCACAGAGATACTGGCACATCCATGTTGCTACACTGCTATTCACTCTAGCCACATTCTGGAGTCGTCTCAGGTGCCCACCAATTAATGCATTTGTAAAAAGAATGCATGTATATACAACACGGGATTTCATTCAGCTATAAAGAGGAACAACATCATGCTGTTGGCAGGAAAATGCTCATCATGTCAAGTGAAATAAACCATACTCATGTTTTATTTTATATGTGGACATAAAGGTGAAACAGGGGCCGGGCAGTGGCAGCTCACGCCTTTAATCCCAGCACCGGTGTGGAAGAGGCAGGTGGATCTCTGATTTTAAGGCCAGCCTGAGCTATATATAGAGCGAGTTCCAGGGCAGCTAGGGCTACACAGAGAAACCCTATCTCAAAAAAAAAACAGAAAAAAAGATGGGGGGAGGAAGGAAGGAAGGAAGGAAGGAAGGAAGGAAGGAAGGAAGGAAGGAAGGAAAAAAGAGACAAAGTAAGGGACAGATGAAAGGGTGGTGGTCAGAGTACATTATACACACATATGGAAATTGGGGTGGTTTGAAAGAAAATGGCCCCCAAAGGGAGTGGCACTATTAGGAGATGTGGCCTTGTTGGAAGAAGTGTGTCACTGTGGGAGCGGGCTTGGAGGTCTCTTTTTCTCAAGCTTCCCTTAGTGTGACTGTCAGTCAACTTCCTGTTGCCTGCAAGATGGAGCATTCTCAGCTCCAGCACCAAGTCTGCCTGCATGCACCATGCTCTCCTTCACAATCATAATGGACTGAACCTCTGACACTGTAAGCAAGCCACCCTCAATTAAATGTTTTCTTTATATGAGTTGCTGTGGTCATGGTGTCTTCACAGCAATAGAAACCCTGACTAAGACAGAAATGTCATAATAAAACCCATTACTTTGTACAATTAATACATGCTAGTAACAGATCAGAAAATCAGTACTCAGCTCTTGTTATACGGAAGCCGCTAGGACTGTTAGGGAGAAGAACATATTAGTCAGAATTATTCCTTGGGATCTAGTGAGATGGTTCAGTGGGTAAAGGCACTTGCTGTCAAGGCTGGTGACCTGAGTTCAATGCCTGGAATCCACACGGTGGTAGGAGAGAACCAACTCCTGCAAGTTACCCTCTGACCTCCACATGCAGACCACTGACACATATATGCAAAATAAATAATTTTTAATAAGATCTATCTATTTGTATTTAATGTGTGTGTTTTGCCTGCATGTATGTATGTGCATATGGTGCCTGAGAAGGCTATAAAAGGATATTGGGCAGGGCGTTGGTGGCTCACGCCTTTAATCCCAGCACTCAGGAGGCAGAGCCAGGCAGATCTCTGTGAGTTCGAAGCCAGCCTGGGCTACAGAGTGAGTTACAGGAAAGGCGCCAAAGCTACACAGAGAAACCCTGTCTTGAGAACCCCCCCCTCCCCCAAAAAAAAGGATGTTGGATATCCTGGCACTGGACTTAAAGATAGTGTGAGTTGCTGTGTAGGTGCTGGGAACTGGATCTGGGTCCTCTGTAAGAGCAGTGAGTGCTCTGAACAACTGAGCCATCTCCCCAGAACAAACGTGTTGCTGCTGTTGGTGGTGGTGGTGGTGGTGGCGGTCATTCCTTGGGAGGTCCTCTGTGTGCTCTTCAGAGACAATACATGGTAGGGTGGCAAGTGTGGGACAAGGAAGTCGCTCAGGAGGTCAAAGGTCAGCAACTGAGGCCAAGGTCGTGGCAGCTAAGACTAAGGTGATCACAAGCAGTGGTACTGCGGGTCTTTAACTTCAGAATGAATTTTAAAAACCAAATTGTGGAAGGATTTGCTAATAGGTTGAATAGGAGATGTGAATGAAAAAGCCACATAGTCAACGATGTTATCATTCGCTGATACTGCTGAGCATCAAGAAGAGACTCCCTGCTTAGTTGGGTTAGTTTTCCTGTTGAGAATGGTATTAAGAAACATTAAGAATGGGGCTGGAGAGAGGGCTCAGCGGTTAAGAGCACTGGCTGCTTTTCCAGAAGACACAGGTTCAATTCCCAGCACCCACATGGCAACTCATACCTTTCTGTATCTCCAGTTCTAGGGCTTCTGATACCCTCACATAGATATACATACGGGTGGAACACCAATGAACATAAAATAAAAATAAATTACATATATATGTATACATATATGTATATATGAAATATTAAGAAAGGAAAACTCAGGTGCTATGAGAATCTCTCAAAAATTCAAGCCTGATGATACAATTGCAGATGACAGGGAAGGAGCCTAACCCTGAGGAAGCGCGTTCACTCCCAGGACTGTAGTGCAAAGCCGATACATTTATTCCTGCAAGTCAGAAATAGACGTGATGACAGGGAGCTACAGGCACGCTGCACCAAGCTCGGCTTCCAGGTTTGGACATTGTGAGCTGGGGACTGAGGGGAGGGCACAGGGGACTTCTTTGCATCTTCCTTGAAAGTTCTTATAAATAAATATGTCACTGCTTCAAGGTAAAAATAATTTTAAAGTCAGCTTCTCCCCAGGAGGATGGAATGAGAGCAGACCTTCTACAGAGTGCAGATGACTGAAGTGACGTGGGTTAAAACTGTGATCTGGTTGATACTAAAATCCTCTGAAGCACCAGAAACATCAAAATGTTCTCCCATGGAACCGTAACTATCGCTTTAATCATCGCTTCATGTGGTCTTAGGTTGAGCTGCTACCTCTAAGGAGGCTCCATTCACTACCACCACCTTCAGCCATCTGAAACTATCCCAGGAGCTAACTCAATAGGTCTGTGGTTTGTGATTATGAATGAAATGGTTATCAGCTCCTAAGATGAGATGAAGAAGTTTGAATTAAATACTGCCTCAACCAAAAAGAAGCATGACACAGCACATGTCTACTTTTCCATATGATATATGGATGGGAAGAATGATAGATTTAGGACTGCCTAGGTAATGTTGCTGTTTGCTGGATAAGATGATACGTACCTACAATTCAAGAACTTGAGAAACTAAGGCAAGAAGATTCCAAGTTCAAGTATATACTGAGCTCACAGCAAGACATTGTCTCAAACAATCAAAAACACAGAAAAGAAGAACACTTCATGAAAAAGAGCTTGTGGACATTTTTTTCATTTGGAGATGGTAGCAGTTTGAATGAGAATGGCCCCCATAGGCTCCTGTGTTTGAATATTTGGTCCCCAATTGATGGAACTGTTTGGGAAGGATTAGGAAGTGTGGTCTTATTGGTGCAGGTGTGTTACTGGAGG